GCCCCTATAGGAGCCTAAATTGAAGGGTTATATAAATGTTCTGTTTGAAAACATGGGAAAAATTATACTATAGTGTTACAATAGTATTTTTTTTTGTAACTTATTATACACATTTCCTAACGTGAACTCTTTTCTATATTCTTTGCCCAAGTGTTAAGGCCCCCACAGACGATCAGTTATTTTGCACAGGCTGACTGTGCAGGCCAATTTGCGCAAATTAATCTGTACCTTTGCCCTTCGCACACACGTTCAGTTTTTAGCACAGTTCTCTTCCCACAAGACGACAAACGCAGATTAGGGATATTTTTTCTCTATAGTGAAAATGGTTTGTGCAGGCCTTTTTTCAAGCCGATCTTGAAATTACTCAGGCTAGGTTAACGGCCAGCACAGTCGGCCGGAGTATCCATAGACGTGCCGATATGCCTTCGCAAGCCAGGTTTGCATAGTCGGCCTGTGCAAAATAACTGATCGTCTGTAGGGGCCTCAAGCCTCTCACAACAGGTCGGTGCGCCTGTCAAATTTGTCACTTGTTCCGTTAAATATGTTGGTGACAAGTTCAAAAAAGTTTTATATGATTTAGCTTTAAGTCATTCTCTATACTTCGGCAGAAATCGAGCAACCTGAAGCTAGTTCTTCTGAAAAAAGGAACACAAGAAGTAAGGGACCAATGATTAATCTTATGGAAGAAAAATGTTTTCTTTGTGGTGAGCCAGATTCACGAAAATATTTTCATTTATGTCAAACAGATGGTGTTTACAATAATATAAAGCGATTGTGTAGAATATCTTGCTATAACCCTTTTAAAAGTTATAGGTACATGAAGTTCACCTTGTTACTAACGTGAAGAGAGTGATTCGAGCTAACTGTGAACAGACCAATAAGAGTTGCAACTGTTGCAAGAACATGGAAGAAGCTGATGGTAGAATAACTCTACACATTCGAGGTATGGTCAATCTCGGTGCCTCTTCGGTTTCTGCTCGCTGTTCAGATACTGATGTATTAGTTATTGCTGTGTCATTTTATCATTCACTGTCAACTTATGGTCTAAAAGAACTGTGGATTCAGTTTGGTGTCGGATCCAAGCGAAGGTACATAGCAGTTCACAATATAGCGAATGCTTTGGGAATAGAAAAGGCTGCAGCTCCGGGTATAACTCAATTTTTTTTTTTTTTAATTCTAATATTACTACCGCATTTTCAAAGCTAGAAAAGCCTTCGCCACTTTAGGAACAAGTGCTTGAAATGAATATACAAGCGCTTGAAGAATTCACAGTTAAAATATATGATCCTCAATCGTGCACTACGAGTATTGATAAAACGAAAAAGGAGATGTTTTATCGTGGCGAAAAACATGTTTACCAAGCTTGTTGCTTTTATCACAATTTGCAAGATTTTTTTGACGTACCTCTAGGACTATAAAGTCAACTAAATTTTTGTATACCATCCTATAGGACAAGGGACTTACTAACATTTTATATAAACAATGTAAGAACAAATTACCATTACAATTCTCCCGTTATAGCGATGTGCAGGCTGTATAATGAAGTAGGTAAGAAACGAGTGTGATATTTTTGCGTTAGATTATGAAAAATTTAGGAAAACAATTTACCAGATACTTAGTTGGAGGGTCAATGAATGAAAATTGCATGGTTCAGTTTAGTTTAGTTTTTTCCTACTCTATAAGTGTTTGAGTTTGTGAATGAATAAATAAATAAATAAATCGCAGATTAACTCCTCCTAAAGATAGGAAACTGCCATAGCCGCTTTCGGGTGCTCCTAAAACACTTCACACCTGTCAGTGACCTGTCATACTCCATGTGTTTTGTACTCGAACGCTTGAAACGGAACGGGTCAAACTGTAGCCGGAGTACTTTGGAGTAACTCGGGAGCGCTCAAAGGGTGGCACCCGAAAGCAGCTCATGTTAAATGTCCGTTCGGAGCTGTCTAAAAAATACCACGTATGAGAGTTTCAAGCTATGTGACGCTAGCCACAAGCAAATGTCATCTGTGAACTGTGAATGAATGTATAATTTTCAATCTTCAAACTACTGCCGGAGGAAACTCAGGTTGTGGAATATGCCGATGATTTTGTTTTCTCTTTAAAGGGCAAATTTGCCATTCAAAATAGACAAAATACATCAATCTCTGGCCATCAATAAATAGCAAATGGTTCAGAGTGAATGGTTTCAGACTGTCGTATGATAAATGTGAGGCACTTCACTTTGTCAAAGGAATTAGAATAAATGAAATATAATCCATGAAAATAAATGGTATCGCCATACCCTACCGGACATCTGTCAAATATCTGGGCATTTATCTGGACAGTCATCTCAATTTCAACAAACACACAGAATATGCAACTCAGAACGCAAAGAAAGGACTCAACGTAATCAAATTCTTTTGCAGAGTTTGGTGGGGATCAGACCCTCTGACTATCAGAATGGTGTTAGGAGAACTAATAATATCCCATCTAGACTAAGGAGCTTTTCTTTTAAAGCCACATTCAAAAAAAAAAAAAACACAAACAGAAGATAGACAGCTTTTTTCACGCTGGACTCAGAACCATTTTGGGATGCATGAGATCATCCCCTAGTAATGCACTAAAAGCGGAAGCAGGAGCAGGAATGATGAATTTAGGATACAGAACTTCTGTCAAATACCTTTTCTAGAGTATATTGCTTAAAAAATCACCCACTTATACTCATATTAAAAAAAATAAAACAACACAAAATGCACAATGCAAACTATTGGAGACGGACATTTTCTACCTAGTGCAAGCGCATGATTATTTTTCACCATATGGCAGAAGGATGAACCATGGAACAGTCCTGGCATACTTTGGAGTGGAGATAGATTTTTAATTGAGTTGTGTCCCAATAATCAATTTAAATTTAAAAAAAAACATGATATTAACATAGCTAACAAGTTTATGGAAAATACAAGTACCATGGATTGTCAATACACACAAACATACACCGATGGGTCCAAAGGGAAAACTAGATATGGAGTACACTGACCAAGCAGGAAATTCAACTTGTCTGCAAGATTGCCGGATAAAATTGACATTTAGACAACGGAGATTGTTACCATAAACGAAGGAGTATGCAGTATGCTATGCACTGGAAAAAAAACATACAAAATGCATTGATCCAGATATACATACAGAAGCTTGAAAGGAGCCATATAAATCCTGATAGTGATGAGATAGAGCTCAAAACCAAACGATTGATCTTAGTAGCAAACTCATCCATTAACATAAAACTGGCATGGATACCTGGCCACTCTGGTCTGACAGGCAAATAATGTACTGACAAACTCGCCAACATAGATAGAATCTTAAATATTCCAAAGGAACTACCTCTGGAACCATTTCACATCAAAAGAAAAATACAAAATGAACATTCAGAACACTGGAAAAAATCACTGAATGAAAAGGGAAATTGGTACAAACAGGTTCAATCAGAATTGCCAAAAAAAAAATATGGTTTAAAAATCTTAAATACACACACAGGCGACATATTATGTCCATCACTAGAATGCCTACGGACCCTTGTTTGACAATGCAGAATAGGTGTAAAAGAGGATTCCTATTGTGAGTGTGGCCAAACTGAAAACCTAGACCACATATTCTTGGTCTGTCCTATAAATCGTATACCAAACTTTGATATCATTGATAAGAAATACTATCCACATTCATCCAACCCCCACCAAAATCCATCCATTTGTGATGTCTTGATTTCCTAACATTCAATTTGTTGTGTAGTGGTTGGGAAACTAATAAAATTCTTGCGTCAGCTTGTTGCTATGTAGGTATTCGTTAACGAGAGGATAACCATCAGCTAATGAACTGCTGGTTAATTGATCCAGACCGATTTTTTTGGTTTGGAACATCTGTAGTCTGGGTTTAAGAGGAACGAGTATTTGTGAACTACACTCTACTTATAGAGCTTTTAAAAAAAAAAAATCCTGTAAATTTCAGGGGTTTTTGTATAATTGACCCAACTTTATTTTGTAAGAGGAGATTTTGGTATAGTATTCCAACACAACTTCTTCGGAAAAATACTCAGCTGCACCAGCAGGTTTTTCGAACTTTGTGAATATTTTCAATAATAATTTGATGTTGATGTTTTTGTCTGGGTAATATTGCAGTAAGCTACCATTATCACGCTGTCCTTGATTATTCAGCCCGTCCCTGTCAATAGGTCGCAATCAATTTGTCGTATATGCCAATTAATGGTAAAGTCAATCTAATTATGTTAAGATCGGATTGAAATTATCACTTAGTAGTAGATTTAATTGGCCTTAATTTGAATCCAATTTCCTTAAGATTGGATTGAAATTAACAAAATTATTAAATAATGAAACTTATTGTAACAATAATTATTATCAAGTTATTAATACTCTAACATGCATGAAAACAAGTCTTTAGACGTAAAACAAAAACTGACATTTTAGGATCAGTTTCTCTACTAACAGTTACAGAAAACTTGTAACTGTTAGTAAAAAAAGCAACCCTTAAAATCAAACAATGATGATACCAATAAGAAAAAAGTGTTAGTAAATATAGCGCGTGAATTTTGACTGTTGTTTACCTGCCAGGGCTAAAGGAGTGCCGAAAGCCAAACCTCGGATACCTAGAAAGTTTACAAAAAAAAAAAAAAAACAAAACAAAAAAACAAAAACCTGTTTGTGACAAAAAATAACACAAGTACGACTTGGGTTTGGGTACCAAGGGAGGGGTGCCATTTCAGATGAATTAGTATTAATGAAATTACACCCCGCCTTGTCCAAAAAAATAAGAAAGTTTTTGAAAAAAGTTAAGCGAGACAAAGAAACAAGGTGAAGTAGTAAACGCAGTTGTAATTAAATAGTTTTCTGTAAAACCCCTTAAAATAGTTCCAAATTCCAACACCTCTTTGATTTTTGTGTAATTAGTAAAACATATTGGGGTATTACAGAAAACGCAATAAAAGCAACACGAAAATAATATGAAAAACTTACCACCACTGGACGCTCGCCGATTTGGTTTCGCGTGCGTAGCAGATATGGATCTATGTACCCCTCTGTGACTAGGACTTTGAGCTGTAGGCTGTGTAGCACCGGGCTGTTGTTGTCCCGCCATATTTCTCAAGGATAAACTAGATCCGCTCCTGCTGCCATCACTTTCCGGCTATAAAGAATAATTCAGTCAAATTTGGAGTTTTTATTATTACAAGATTACTTACATCAGTACTTTTTCTGCCTAAGAGTAAATAAGTAGCAAAAGCGTCATCATACTTTTGAGTATCCAATGAATTTTCAACATCATACCGATTGAAACCTAAACTAACCAAAACTTCAATTCGTTTCGGGTCGTTCATGTCCGCCTCTGGTTCAACGTAAGGCTTAAGTTCGTCATTTTCATATCTAAAACGATTAATGAAATTTTTCATTATCTACATATAATAATGTCATTTGATATTTGAGTACAATAATCAGGCATTGTTTGCTAGTTGCTACTACTACATCCATATGTACCGTCAAAAAACTTAACACGAGTGCAACGGTTTGGTGATTGCTGATTACCTTTTTAAACAAAACAAGATTTTGAAACACCATTTTTGCATTACACAAGTGTCAAACTATTGACAGTGCACAATCGGGTCTATAATCATCTGAAATTAGAATTAATTTATGTTAATAAATACTTAACTACTTATTTGGTTAATGAATGAATGAAATCATGCATGATTACTCTTACCAACCTCCTCTCTATGGGATACAAAACACACCTGCTATATAAAATGAATGAAAAAAGAAATGTGCAAAAAACTAACCCAACGTACCCCTGGTTCATCCACTTGTCTTTCATTATCGTTTCGAGACTGGCCCGTTTGGCCGGATTCAGAACCAGGAACTTTTTCAGCAGGTTCTCGCAATCGGTGCTCATGTAAAAAGGTATGCGGTATTTGCCGCGCAGCACCCGTTCTCGGAGTTCGCGCAGCGTCGAACCGTCAAACGGTAGACTGCCTGAGACTAGCGTGTAGAGGATTACGCCCAGTGACCAGACGTCTACTTCGGGACCGTCGTATTTTTTACCCTGGAATTGTCAGTATTGAAAAAGGATAAAGGTAGAATTAAGAAGAAATAGTTGTTCCTTTCTAGTACTAGTAAGAAACAGAATTGTCTTGAGCAACTCTAAAAGCTCAAATTTGTCTCTTTGGTGACTCTGTAACATGATAAGATACCAATAAGTTCAAATTGAACAGATTCAATGCGTCTTCTTTTTTTGTCTCATTCATCATTGCACCTTTAAATTATTGAAGTCAACGAGAAATTGTAAAAATAGATTGTAGCTATCAAGATATGGAATTCGCTTGAAAAGGTTCTCAAGCATACGCTGATAAAGATGACGATAACTCTGCTTACCAGTCATCGCTATTTGTTTAATTAAGACATCAGATTCTCCCAAATGTTTCCCAATCACATTACCATCTTTAACTTCTTGAGACGCAGTTTTCATTATTGGATGGACTTTCAAAGAAATTTCTTCAGATTTGTTGTGGTTCTGGGCTTGACATTCATTATTCTGCTACCAAATTAACATGTATCATTGTCAGGGAAATTCTTTTTCAGAATCCTTGTTCTGCACAGGTTTTTACCAATATGGATGAGATGGAAATACATTTGACAAGTGACAAACCTATAGTGAGGCGCCTTACTGGTTGGCCTGATCGGAGCGTGTTAAAGTGCAGGAGAAAATAAACGGATTACTGACTAATGGCATCATAAAGGAAAGCGAGTCAGAGTACGCCAGTCATAGTCCCAAAGAAAAATGGCGACATTAAGCTGTGTGTCGACTACCGGTTGTTGAACAAAATTACTGTTGAAGACAGGTACCCTATGTTACTCGTGGAGGACCAGCTGCACAAGTTGGCTGGGAAATGCTATGATACAACACTGGACCTCGTGGCAGGATTTCATCAGGTACTTATTGATCCTGCATCCACACATAAAACAGCGTTTGTTACCCCAGACGAATATCTTCGAGTACCTTTTGGTTTGGCAAACAGTCCAGCTGTTTTTCAGCGAACAATTAACAAAATGCTTGGCAGCATGCGCAGAGAACAAGTGCTAATTCCTGGTAATGAGACAATCCAGTTACTCAGTAATCTCAGACAACCCTATAATTTGTGATTTCTTCTCTTGACCTACTTTTAAATATTAGTTTCAAAAAGTTGAACTTTTACAAAACCGGGTAAGATCCTGTCGACAATGAATGGTTGAAGGGATTTGCTAGGGTCGTTGAACGTGTGTACAGACATTTCTTTATACAGAACAAGGCCTACATGACAGTTTACCATGTGAATTTTTTACTTGTTCTATAATCTCAGCACATCCAGAAACATCAGTGACGTTAGAAAATGAGTATTTCGGAGCCTGATTAGTGGTACGGCTCGAGCAAACACTAGAAAAGAAGTCTGCAAACAAATTTACAGTCTCTTGATTACTACAGCCATCAGCCAGTAGAGCCATTATAATCAAAACGATCTATATAGAATTTCCATTAATGTCATTTTCAGTTTTGAGCAGGTACCTATATTCTATAGGCAAATCCTTGCACCTATCTCTTACTTTTCATAAATTGTAATAATTGATCCGCATCGAATTGATTGAATCTTACGTTTGGAACAGTTATTGAGATATTCGGCATCGAAGTTGAAACTTTGTGTGAAATTTCGAAAAAGTATCAAAGTGAAATTATCACAAAAAAAAACGACTTCATTTTCGGAATTTTCTTTGCATAACCCTTATAAAAATTTCAATTTCAAAACGTCTAGTATGTCTACCCTAAATGAAATGTATGTAGATACAGAAAAGCATTTTCGCAACTAATAATTCTTGTTCAGAATTGAATGTTCTACCAGATAAAACCAAATTGAATTTTATAACTGGAGTATCGGGTGCAAACCAAGCACCTAGGGTGCTTCTTGAATTTTCCTGGTGTTACAGTACTCTGCGTACAATGTAGGCTGTACTCAACACTACTACCGCTACATCAGGAGGTTGTGACTGCCAGGAACTTGCCTTATTGCTTCACAAGTGGCGTAAATTGTCAGTCCTGTGAATCCAATGATGATCAGTACAACAAAGGTCTTCATATTCCACATTCTTTGGATTTCTATCCTTATACTTCAAATATTTTGCGACCTCTTTCTGTGTGACATTAAATCTAATGGGACAGCTACATCTACAGTATGTCCACTTAACTTCGCAGCCTATGAGACACTTTTTAATTATCAATTTTACGAAAAAAAGTTATTCTTTATAAAAGTTTCTGCTTCTTAAAAAAATACTATTGAACTTTTCAAACTTGAATTAGCATGTACTGGGTGGTCAAAAAATAGAAAAATATACAGGGTGTTTCCTAACTATGGTTCGTAACTTCAGGATGTGATTTCTTACAATATTTTAAGAAAAAAAGTTCCCATAAACATGTATCTGGAAATGCGTAGTTTCTGAGATACAGGATGTAAAAGTTTTAGAAAAAATCGTTTTTTTTTTTAGCTCAAAAATGCCTTTTCCAATTTTTTTTTTTTCAAATTTGGCAGGTTTGTTTGTTGACTACAAAAGATATCTTTTGACTGCAATATGACTTGCTTAATCTAAAACAAAATATCAAAGTAAACCTTTGATATAGTAGGCCTGGGAATAGTGACTTGCCATTTTTTTCTACTTTTACCACAAAACCCTGTATATTTTTCTATTTTCTGACCATCCTGTACATGGTATTTTAAGTTTTAATAGTTTAATAGTATTTTTTCAAGAAGCAGAAACTTTTATCAGAAATAACTTTTTTTCGTAAAATTGATAATAAAAAAGTTTCCCATATGCTGCGAACTTAAGTGGACACACTGTATAAGGAGGCATGTACTATTTTTCTTATTTTTTACAATATTGCCAGGGTTGTTTGCAGTGTTGTGTCAGTTGGTTTGTATTTACATGTCCCATATTATTGTGATGTCAGGAGTGTCTGGTCTGAAGTATGAAGATACCATTTTTCATCTACAGGTTCTTGGCAGATGTTCCAGTGAAGTAGGGAAGTAACCTTGTTGTGGCGCTCTTTGCTAGGACCGGGCAACCCGCAATGACATGACGTATGGTCTCGTATGTCCGGCAAAGTTTACATTTTGGGTCATTGCCCGATTCTATGATCTTAGCCTTTATCTACTTCCTTTGTGATTTGGCAATGCATTGTTTTCTTTTTTCATCTTATCATTTGTTCAGTGTTCTTTCATTCTTTGGTTCTGTTTTTAATAATGTTCATTCTATTTGTTGATATGCTGTTTTCTATTCCTTCAGTGGTGTTTCTCTCTATCTACTCTCTTAGTTGTTTGTACACCATTCCAATATATTTGTCTTTATGTTTTAATTTCAGGTGCCTAGTTGTTGATTTCTTCAATGGTAGTAGCATAACTGTTTTTAATTTTGAGCATTCCTCTTTGTCCATGTTTTCTTAGTACATGGAGTCTGTCAATGTCGTCGGTCTCGGATGCGAGGCTTCAGGACCCTTATTCTCGCAACAAGGGAGCAGCGTTCTTATGAGAACGAAGGTTCTTTCTTAGTGATCCATATCCGTGTTCATCTATACCTATGGTTGAACCAAATCCAAGCGGCAGTAAATGACATACTGGTCATTTTCATTACAACCTATCAAATGTCCTTTGTGCATGCGCACTGGTCCAGGTAGGGCGTTTTAACCAATAGGAGTATTTTTATATGTTATAGGAAATATCCGATTTCCGGCCATCCTAGTATAGCCTAGGATGTACTAAAAATTCCTAGCGTTGTTAGGAACTTCGCATATTTCCTAGGACATACTAGTATTGCCTGATAGTTTTCAGCACAAACTAGAATGGCCTGATTAGTGTTAGGAAATATCCGATTTAAATTTCATGTAAAAATGTCACTTAGCGTTGATTATCGTCGCTTAAAATGGTGGTGCAAACGGCCATAAGTCACCTGGTTTTGTATAGGTATGTTTAACAATGATCTAATGCAGCCAAGTGGATATTGGAAAATATCTGTGTATTATCTGTGTTTCAGTAATTCTGTAATGTTTTATTGAAAAAATGTGCATCTACATCTGCATTCACTTTAAGCGTTGATTATTGTTAAACCTGGTTAGTGCAAACGGCCAATAGTCATGCCGCCATACCTCGAGTTATTTCAAAATCATAAAATATGGTACAGTTAGTGAAAACAAACTATTGAACACATTTATCAGCGGTAAATATGTTCACCCTTCACCCTTTTACCCTGAAATTTATTCTCCTGATATGATAAAAAAAACTTACTAAAACACAGATAATACACAGAGATTTTTCGATATCCATGTGACTGCAATAGTTTATCCTCTTAAACCTACCTATATGAAACAGGTGACTTGAAGTTTCTTGACTTCTGGATGCACACTGTGGTGTTCATACTCTTTTGAATTTATTTTTTCTGGTGATGGAGTGAAGATTTACAGTGGTTCTTGCGTTTTTGTATAGGTTTTTAATTATTTCGCAATATCGGTGATCAATTCTTGTTTCTTGTAGTGATCTCAAGATTGCAGGAAGTTCCACGCTTACAAACGTCTTTAGGAAGTCAACTTACACCAATACCAAAGGACAGTTAATTGTATTCAATACTCTTTTCTATCAGGGTTTTAGGACACTGGAGGTGATCGCTGGTACGGTACCGAACTTAAAGCGGAAACCAGTCTGTTCCCGGGACTGCCTAAAGTCCAATTTAGCGTCTGGTCGATTTACTATTATGCGAGTATACAGGGTGTACCATTTAAGACGAAACAAGTTAAATATCTGATGCCATGTTTGATTTTCAAAGGGGGAAGTTTTCTGCATTCATTTTCAGCACTTTTTATATGTTTATTTTGCGCTAATATAAATTCAATAAAATTCTATTTATCCAAAGGTTATCAAGGTTCTTCAATTGCTGTCAAAACATGATCTGTGTTCGTCTAAAATCTGTTTTGGATTAGGTTCTTTGTGTTCTAAGGACTAAAGATTGACCAAGAATCTGCTCCGAATTCGT